TATATGTATAGGTGAAAAAATAGGTAATCACCACCCCTTGTTGGATGAGTCACGTTTGGACCACCAAAACGTGCGGCTGTTACATGGAGCAGTTGTGAGAGGAATGCTCATTGTGTAACGTTTCTTGATATCCACCATAGCATGTTGAGTTTTATATCGAAATATGTCGTATGCCCAGATTTCATACTAAATAGAGGGATACGCCTTTGGTACTATGAAAAGATGGTACCAAACAGTGGCAAACTTCTCTAAATAAGCATGAGCAGAAGCTACAGGATTATCAGGCTGCCTGCAATTCCATGGCACTCATGCCAATGAATGTTTGAGAGAGACATGGTCCTGTCCAAAATGAGATAGCTGGATGTTCCATTCAGGGCAACATTTTTTGTTACCCCAAAAGATAGGTAAAGCGTCAGATTAAATGGTCATTTGCCATGATCTTACCAGTTTTGTATATCATAAAGCACCTTGTGATGCCATCAATAGTCCAATCCAATAAGTCCTGTTTCAAAATGGTGATAGTTGCCCCAAATAAGAACTTGTTCACCACTTCTACCCAAACAAGGTCTTAGCAAAATCTGCCATGGTTTGGTGACAGAATTGTTGGCCATGTAGGCACACAAATTTTGGAGGTGTAGGTGTTCTTTCCTACCTAACGTTAGAAAAAATCATTCCACACCATTCGTCATGTTTAAGGCGGCACAAATCATAAATAATCTCAAAACAGGTAGAATCATGCTCCTACCTTCGAATTTCGATAACTTCGATGGCGGGCTCCCGAGCGCCGCGCGCACCGCACCGCCTGGACTCCCCAGCGCCGTTTATGCGTCGCCGTTGCGTAAATACAATATTTCAGCTTTCCAAGACCTGTACAAAATGTACGGGACCAAGGTAAACCATTCGTCGTGTTTAAGGCGGAACATATCGGCGGAACATATCGTAAATAATTTCAAAACAGATAGAATCATGCTCCTACCCTCGAATTTTAATAAATACGATAGCGAGTTCCCGAGCGCCGCACGCACTGCACCGCACCGCCTCGACTCCCAAGTGCCGTTTCTGCATTGTTGCGAAAGCACAATATTTCTGCTTATCAAGAACCATAAAACATATACGGGACCAAGGTAATAATAATAAAGCAACCAAGGTCGTTTCTAATCGAGTTTAGGTACATTTATGAAACACACAGGCCAGAATAGTCCAGAACATATCCTTAACTAGCCTAACCTAACCAAACCTAACCTAACCTAACCTAACCTAACCTAACCTAACCTAACCTAGCCTAACCTAGCCTAGCCTAACCTAAACTAACCTAACCTAACCTAACCTAACCTAACCTAACCTAACCTAACCTAACCTAACCTAACCTAACCTAACCTAACCTAACCTAACCTAACCTAACCTAACCTAACCTAACCTAACCTAGCCTAACCTAACCTGACCTAACCTAGCCTACCCTAACTGAGAATAGACCAGAGCCTAAGCTAAGCTAAGCTAAGCCAGCCTAACCTGACCTAACCTAACCTAACCTAACCTAACCTAACCTAACCTAACCTAACCTAACCTGAGAAAAGACCAGAACCTAAGCTTAGCTAAGCTAACCTGCCCTAACCTAACCTAACCTAACCTAACCTGATTAACCTAACCTAACCTAACCTAACCTAACCTCCCCACCCTATATCCCCTTCAACCCAGCATCCCATAACTAAGCTAAGCTAAGCTAGCCTGACCTGACCTGACCTGACCTGACCTGACCTGACCTGACCTGACCTAACCTAACCTAACCTAACCTAACCTAACCTAACCTAACCTGAGCTTAGATATAAGCTCATAGACCTTATGAGCCTAGATATAAGCTAATAGACCAGAACCTGAGCTTAGCTAAGCTAACCTACCCTAACCTAGCTAACCTCTTCTAACCTAACCTAACCTAACCTAACCCAACCTAACCTCCCCACCCTATGTCCCCTTCAACCCAGCATCCCATTCGCGTCCATGTTCCATGCCATATATAGGTGCCATATAGTGAGCTTTTATTTAGCTGTCATGTTCTCATTTTGCTTTACATTCCCCACCCAATCCCCCTGCAACCCATGGTCCCGTTGGCGTCGAGGATCAAATTTCATGGATTTTTGTTACCTTGGCCTGGTACATTTTTATGGTTCTTGATGCTGCTTGATGCACAGTAATGTTGTGACCCGCGCAGTAATGGCGCCGGTGTCGCGGGTGCTGTGTGTGTGCGGCGCTCGGGAGTTCGCCGTCGTAATTATAAAAAATTGAAGGTAAGATTATGAATCTACCTGTTTTGTGATCATTTACGATATGTCCTGCCTTAAACACGACGAATGGTTTACTTTGGTCCCGTACATTTTGTAGAGTTCTTGGTAAGCAGAAATATTGTATTTACGCAGCGGCAACGCAGAAACGGCGCTAGGGAGTCCAGGCGGTGCGGTGCGCGCGGCGCTCGGGGGCCCGCCATGGAAGTTATTGAAATTCGAAGGTAGGAGCATGATTCTACCTGTTTTGAGATTATTTACGATATGTCCTGCCTTAAACACGACGAATGGTGTACAATGATTTTTTCTAACGTTAGGTAGGAAAGTACACCCTGACCATTTTGGATGTTAGTTTGTTTTGGTGTAGGTGGTTTTAGGTAATAATTTAAGTCAGAAAACAGTGATAAATTTATTCTCAGCTTGTTCTGCAACCAGCTTTGGTGCTATGAGAGATATGAGATGCTAGGTAAGATAAGAGAATATTTTAGACTAGTGTTCACAGTGCACCATATAGTATAAGGTAAGATAATTGAGGAAGTAATGCTACAGTGCATTTAATCATTTGGCTTCAAGATAAGACTGTGGCTTTTGTGAAGAACCAAGGAGCAATGCAAATGCTATATCCAATGTTGAACCATTTTCCAGGATATTTTGTTCTTTGCAGGAGTCAAAATATAGTTAGGGTTTTGCCAGCCATAATCATTACTTATTTTAGATATATTAGACAATGTTGTGATTTTGTCTGTAACTATTTGACTTATGTAGGCTTACCTAATATTTATGCTGCATATTTCATGTGTGATACCTTTTGCAAAGTGCAAATCAAGGTGTCACACAATTAAGAAAGCACAACAGAACACAGCAAGAAGAGCATCAGGGGGATACCACAGCTACTGGATGTAGAAGGTTGTCAGAAATTTGACTTATAGTCACTTTCCAATGATGCACTTGATCTTGAGCCTGCATGAAGGTTTTGGGGATAACAACATTTCTGAGCCTGAACCATGGCACCTCAATAATTTCAGTGACATGGGTCAACTTTCTGGAAAATCACGGTGTTCCCCATGTACAGGGAACACATGCGTAAAGGAATACTTATTTGAAGGCAAACTCTATCCTAAAGCTCAGATACATGTCAGAAACTATGAAAAAGTTGTTCAACATGCTTTTCATCCTTGGTCCAAAGCATCCACCCATGACAGGTGACGACATTGCTATTGTTGCTGTTGGTGGTCACTGGGAATGGTCATACCTGCCTAGTACATTAAAGCCTGTGCATCTGTGCAAATTGCATTACTTTGCCTGTTCCTGTCATCTTTGGCCGCAATGTTACATTACAAGGTCACACAGTATTTGCGGGGGATGACAATGTGCCAACATATCTGTGAGCGGCCAGTCTCTTGAGGCAGCTTTGGAGTACATCTGTTGCTAACCCAGGCATTGGCAGAGTCATCCTTGTCATGTGAACACTGCCAGGCACAGATTGGTGGCAAGAGTGAGACCTGTCTGCCTGCCCGACTGCTGTTGGGCAGGGACGGCCGGCGTGCCGACAACTGGCCTCCACCGCACAAGTGCGCACTGCTGGTGTTGGACTGATTGTTGTAAACATGTACTGTCTTGCTTTTCAGTAAACATGGTTTAAACCTGCAGCCATATTGGCTGCGGAACATACACCTGCAAGGCCAAACATCTACTGCCTTGCTTTTCAGTAAACATGGCGTAAACCTGCAGCCATATTGGCTGCAGAACATACGCCTGCAAGGCCTCCGTTCCGGCGGGAGTCAGCAAAATGTGGCGACTGTCGAATCTGCTGAACCTTATACGAGGTGGGTGGTCTTGGGTGATTACACTCGCAGCAACTCGTGGTCGTCCTCGCGTTTCATTTGCGTGGTCGGATTGGCTTGGGGCTAGCAAATGGCGAGTTGCCTGCATTCATCCACTCGCGTGGTATGACCCACAGGTGGCGTGCGGAGCGGCGCATGGCGGGTGCGCGAGCTGCCCAGTCAGCTGCTGTCGGACGAGCGAGAGCATGAGCGGCAGCAGCCGAGTGGGGCGCGGGCCGCGGCGCCGCCCGACCGCCTGCATCACATCGAGCTGTTCATCCGGCCGGTCCACACGGCGACCAAGGTGTGGAGCATCTCCTCACCACCCCTATCGCCCGCGACGCCGGCTCTGGCACGGGCTATCGCAGCTGGCCGCCTGACAGCGGTATGAGACTAGTTGCGTGGTGACGAGCATGGTCTGGCGTTCGTTGTGCCGGCAGGTCCATCGCAGCATAATTGCCAACCCCCCCCCCCCTCTGTACTGCACGCTTGCGCGTACATTGCGATCACCTGATGGACAGCAATCGTGATGTTATCCACCAAGCGCCAGCTGTCCTTTGTTGACCAGCCATGGCATCGTCTTTGGCCACGGTCTGTCAGCCCTCAGCTGCCGCGTCATGTGATACAATTGGATGTCACCTCTCATCGAGCGTTGTGCTGGTCAGGCGTCGCCGCTGGTGGCTCGCGACAGACCGGCTGCGGCGTGCCGCCTGCCGTCGGCTACAGCGCTCTGGTACCTGGACGTGGCCGGCTGTCCGGCTCCCACCGCGGTCGACGACTCCGCCGCTGCCGCTGACGGCTCCACTGCCGCTGCTGACGGCTCCGCCGCCGCTGCTGGCGACTCCGCCGCCCCCGCGGGCTGCTGCTCTGCCGAGCCGGAGCCCGCCGACCTGCTGACGTCACTACGAGCCGAGTTCGCCGCCGACCACGACCGTCTGATGGCGAACCTGCAGAACGCGGCCGGCGCCGGTGTCGCCGCCTCCCGGCCGAAGCAGGCACTGGAGTGTTTCCGGCGGGCCGCGGCGCTGGGGTCGCCGTCGGCCTGGTTCAACACGGGTGTCTGCTTCCAGCAGGGGCTCGGCACGCGCGTGGATGTGGAGAAGGTGAGGCAGAGGGCAGAGCGGAGCGTGGAGGGCGTAACCAACCAACGGCCTGAGAGTTGCATTATCAACGCCGGTCGGGACGAGTGTTGGGTGGACAGGTGCCTGGACTATTGGGTGCCTTGGAGAGCGTGGCGGTTGGTGAACGTTGAGTACCGAGCGGGATCGACCGGTACCTAGACTGAGGACCAAAACGCCTCATGGGAATGTGCTGCTGGCATGCTAGTACATCGTGATAATGGAACATGGACAGTAAGCACTGATGTAGGGATGATGCTGTGCTTTTCATTTAGCACCACATTACTGGACAAGTTGCTGTCTGCCTTCCACATCAGCGGTGTCCGTATCACCGCAGTGTATTTCTGGGAGCACACACACGCTGCAGAAGTGTGTCTGATTGTGCCACGCCCGTATGGGGTCGTTTTTTCGTCTTGAATTAATAATGATGACGGGACACCAGTGCAGACATCAAAGCTAGGCCTGCAACTGGAGACCGCTGCATCACTTCGGTGTCCCGGTCATCCCATTTTTCCCAGAGGGCCGCTGTGTCAGGCGGGTTATCGGGCTGACGTGTGACGGGCGTCGCTCCCTCCCTCTCTCGCCGGCGTGCGTGGTGCTGGCTGGTTGTAGAAATCCATTGTGTAGCCCATCCGGCGCACGCCTCTGTGACCACGCGTCTGGGACGCCCACGTTGCGCTCGTCCGACCTTCCCTCCGCCGTCTGCAGGCCGCCGTCTGCTACGAGGAGGCGGTCCGGCTGGGCCACGCCGCCGCCGCCTACAACCTGGCGCTGCTGCTGGCCGGCGGCGCCGTCCTGTCCACATGCGACGTGACGGACCTGCTGCGGCGCGCGGCGGACGGCGGCTGCGCTGAGGCCGCCGCCTTCCTGCACACCTGGTGCCGGTGGTGCGACGACCTGGAGGACGGCGAGGCAGAGGGTGAGGCAGACTGACCGGCCGCCCGCCGCCGGCCGACACGTCCTGCCGCGCTGCTCGGCGCCGACACGGAGCCGGTCACGGCGGGTGGGTGGCGGAGGCGACAGTGCGGGTTCACGGTTGGCCGGTGGGAGGGGTGACAGTGTGGGGTCACGATGGGGTGGTGAGAGGGTCACAGCGCGAGGTCACGGCGGGCCGGTGGGAGGGGTGACAGTGCGGGGTCACGATGGGCTGGTGGGATGGGCCACAGTGCGGGTTCACGGTGGGCTTGTGGGAGGGTCACAGTGCGGGGTTACGGTGGACTGATGGGGGGATCACAGTGCGAGGTCACGGCGGCTGGGTGGGAGGGGCCATGTTCGGGTTCACGGTGAGCTGGTGAGAGGGTCACAGTGCGGGGTTACGGTGAGATGGTGAGAGGGTCACAGTGCGGGGTCACGATGGGCTGGTGGGAGGGTCAGCGCGGGGTCACGGTGGGCTGGTGGGTCGGTCACAGTGGGGGCTCACAGTGGAAGGGCGCCAGCACGCGCGGGGTCGGTTCTAGTAGTGGCCGCTTCGCATAAGACGTGGTAATTCCCATCACACCAGCGATCTTGAGCCGCCTTGAGAGGCACCCGCTGGACCCAGGCTCCTTTGTCGTCCCCGGCTTCGCAGTGGTGTCGGAACATGGGTGTTCTAACGGGTGCTCTTAAAAAAGCTAACTTTCTTCGGATCTTGGCTCACATTTTGCGCATAACAGTGCTCGCCAGTACATTTGTGATGCAGTATGCCATCATTTACATGCGTGGCGCCCCAACCATATGTCGGTAGAGTATTTTAAGTGCGAGATGGCACATTTCTGTGCATCGAATGCTTTCTGTCAAAGTTCTGAAGACTCATGAAAGTACGTGAGGGTAGGGATAGGGCGCTGAGACGTCGTCCAGATTTTTTGTCTGCGGAGCCGGCCATCGCTTCGAAAAAGGCCACTTGCCATGTTTAAAACGTGTTGTCCCGTTTGCACCAAAAAATCCTTACGGCGTGATTCGTGAAAGCCGTTTAGCTCCACACCGCGCGAGATTAAGAGGCTCCGCGCGCGGGGTGCTCCACATTCCAGCCAGCATCCACACCGCTATGAAGGTGCCCGCTGTGGGCGACACTGCCTGTGACACGACCCGTTTGCGCCGGCAGATGGCGGCGCGGTGCCGTCGCCGCCCGGCCGGTCCGTATCGCTGCCGACTCTGGCGGACGGCTGGCCCGGCTGCGGCTCCGGGGCCGGCCGGCCGCCGACGCCGGGCCGCCTGCCCTGGCCGTGACCGGCCTGGCACCGCCGTGGCGGATGGGCCGGCTGATGCTCCGGGACCCGACCGCCGGCGCTGAGCCGCCTGCCCTGGCCGTGGCCGGCCTGGCGCCGCCGTGGCGGATGGGCCGGCTGCTGGCTGTGCGTCTGTGGTGAGCAGAATGCCGGCTGCGTGTCTGTGACTGTCTGAGTTCCTGCGGACTGCGCGACCGGGACTTCTCAACTGCCGTAGGGATGTGCGCCCTGGAATGATGAGCCCCGTCTTTGTCTGGGATGGCTCGTCTGCCGCTGCCTCTGCGTCCTGAGTGGCTGGACTTCTAGTGATGCTCGTGCGATGGTATGACGGCTGTGCTGCTGTGCGTATCAGCGTGGGGCTTCTCACCGTGTGCTGCTGTGCGTGCCAGCAGGGTGTGGTGGCTACTGTTTCTGCATGTTCGTGATGACGTGGCGGCTGGGGGCCTGGGCTGTGGGCCCGGGCCTGGGCGGGGCTGGGCCGCTCCGGCGCTGACATCCGGTCCCAGACAGCGGTGTTCCAGCCGCCTGAAGTCAGCGGCCGGCCCCGGCCTCAAACGCGGGCGCCGCCCTGCGGATCGGACGGATCGGGGACGTGGCACCTGACAGGACGGTGTTAGTTCCGATGAAGTGATTTTGCCAGCTGTGACGATAGGGGGCTACAATCTTACCACTGTGATCACTTTCCAACGTTTTATTCTTTTTTCAACTGTTAGCGCTAAGTGTGTACCCGTGTTTGTTCCACGTAACGACACGTGTGGCCAGCAACTTTGCGACGTCTCACCCGGTGGGTAGAGATTACAATCCTTGTTTGATTTGCCATGGTTGGACCCTTCAGAAGAGTTGGCCCTGCCTGCGATTCATAGATTATCCCCTTGGCAGTAGCATTACAAATATGCGCCATTTTGAAACGACCTGCGATGTGCTGCAATGCAATGTGTCCCAGTCAAAAGCGCTGGTTGTCTCGCAGTGCAATCGTAGCGGCATGTCACCGCGGAGATATGGCGTGGTTGACGACGTTATCTGCCCAAGCTGTGGCAACTGTAACGTCTTAGGATTACGACGGCGCAGTCGGGCGTTACACGCATAGTTGGTAGGTGTCAGGCGTGGTGTTCGTTTGTGGCGACTAATGTCCACATCCAGTGGCGTTTGCTGGTTTGTCCTAGTTCTTGGCGAAGCAGGCTCTTTTGTTAACGATTGCACGGAGTCTAATTGGCATGAGGCCTACTGGCGACTTCGGTGGGCGTAAGACGCCACCGTACAATGGTACAATTTTAAGCCAGAATTGTCCGCTTTTGGGCGATGGCCCTTGGTATACTGTGCTGTACCGAAACGACGTGCAATGTACCAGGATAAGTCAGAAATACAAACGAACATTGTGTGCCCATCTCTCATTTTCAGGCGGTGATTTCTTCGAGTGTCCTGCTGTTATTTCAGCCATTGCATTGGTTAGAGTTTGTGACACCATAATTTTGGCGTGCTAGATACCCCCATTTGAACAACCTCGGGGGCGCGCGATGCTTTTGAGTCCGCGCTCCGTGCCTCGTTGCCCGCCGGGCCCGCTGAGTGTCACTGCGCGGGGGCGTCGACAGCTGGCCTGCAGCGTGACCTTCTTTTGACCTCTGCTTCTTCTGCTCCGTAAACAAGGCACTCAACCGGTACGGCTGACTTTCGAGGCCGGCGGAGGGGTGGGGGACACTCGCAGCCGTCGAGTGGGGACAAAAATCGTCTCCACCCGGCGGCAGTTGAGCCAGCGCGTGGCACGCAAGACGAGGCGGTCCGGCGGCGCCGGCCAATCGCCCCGGAACACCCCCTTGTGGTGCCGCGCCGAACAGCGCCGGCCAGTCCGGCTGGCAATGGCGGCGCACCGTGCGAGAGCAGCTGCGCAACGGCTGTTGCCGTGCGGTAATTGCCCGTCACCGGCGTCGCTGGGAGGGAGGGGGGGGGGGGGGGACGGTGGCCGGCTTACCGCCGAGCGAGGCGACGGGATGCCAGACGATGTGTGCGACAGTCGGCCATCAAACGGTAACGCAGGCGTCAGCGGCACGGCAATCATGGCGCCTTGGTGGTGCGGCCCGGATGGCCGGGTGCACGGGACGCTCCGCGACTGTGCGCTCCGGACAGGCGTCACACCGGGGCGACGATGGGTGGGTGGGTGCGTCGGCACGTGCGCGCGACTAGCCAGCCAGCCGTTTGACCGGCACTGCCCATTTGGGCAATGCTGGCCAATGTCATTGAACGCATGGGAAGAAACGGTCACGTGGCCAATGCCAGCCGATCCGTTTCCGGACGCCGATCAAGAGCGTCTAGGGTGCGCTGGCACCCGGCAGGGTTGCCCTCTCCGTACAGAGACCAAGAAGCCACTTTTTTGGCTCAAAAAGTCGCATACACTCGCATGAAATCCTACACTTGGATTCCCAGTGATTCGTGCGCGGCTTAGTTACCTGCTCTGCCATACGTAATTGCCATATGTAACTGCCTTCATTGGCAATCCACTATCAGGTGAGTGACTTGCCAATGGGAAACTTGGTTCTGGGGCCTTTTCACCGTGGATACCGGGGGGGGCGACCGGGTACCCTCAGGTCATGGCTTGGCTTGCGTTCTTGCTGTGCTTGCGCGCGCCGACCGTCGTCGTTTCCCGTCCATTCTGGCCGGATGGGCATGGACGTGACCCGGCGCCACCGCCGCCGGTCACCATGACACATGTGTGTGAGGTGTGCAGATGCTGATGCTTCGCTCAGGCCGGGTAGCATGTCCTGCTTCATCCCCCCCCCCCCCGTCGCACTCCTGCGTCGGAACCGGTTATCCCGGTTGTCAGGAGACGGCGGAAAGTAAACTGGCCAGATCTCAGTGGGATCGAAGGACGACAGCCTCTGAGTTGGCTGGATTCTTGGCTGGCGGGTCGTGGTGTCAGTGCAATAAAGAACTTCTGAGCACTCCACGGATGTGTCCTTAAATGGAGTGTTCTACATTTAAAGATATTGAAGCAAGCATGAGGTGAACAGAAATAAGATAAGATGAAATCGGCTTACTTATAACTATTGGTGTGCTTTGAAATGGAAAGGGCTGGACTAGGCAACACATGTCCTCTGTTTAGTAAACATGATCTGCAAGACGTCAATAATTACGTCATCGCACGTTGCACAACATTCGCTGAGAGTCAACTGACGGCTGTTATTTTTGGAAATCGTACGCACAAACATCAGATATGAACGACCCGACGATTATATTTTTCTTGATGCTGGTTGGCGCATGGCTAATGAAAAAGCAGGATTTAAATGGCATTATTATGGCGTCATGGATGCCTAAGTGACCTTGAAATAGTCTCCGGAAATGCTCTGCACATTCCGCGGGCGTGTAGTTCAAAAACGAGAATGACGCAAGCCTTAAGAAGGGTGAAACAGAGTGGCTGTTTCAGTTCAATATCCCATACAAATGCGAGTTTTCCCACTGGAGGCGGATCCCGTGCCGGTCGAAGCAGCAGTTGCATTCGCAGCCAATAGCTGATGGTACGCCACTCGTCCGCTCCAGTCGAATAGCTCCAAGAGTTTCAGACTGACGACATGCAATCATGACGCGACGACCATAGACAACGCGACAGCCATGCATTCCTTGCTAGCACTACGCGTCAACTACATTTTAACGGCTTTGCCAGGTCGGGTCCGCGGTCAGATGTGAGCGTGGGGATTCACCCGAACACCATGCCCCTGTGACCATGCCCAAACCATGACCAAAACCGACAACCGGATGGCACAACAATGCCACGTCATAACCACACTGCAGAGGAGACGACAGTGACGCGTACTCCCAACGTGGCTGCGAGGATGGACGTGCGGACTCCGTTGCCGTGTACCGGAAGGCGAGGCGGTCCAGGTCGACGCCGCTCCGAGCGCGATAGGTCGCTGGAGGTCGTCAATCTGCATCACGAAAGCTGAAGCACCCCAGTCGTCACGGCACGGATATCTCTGCGACACCTGGGCGCCCCTAACAGGCATGGCCTTGAATGCTGGTGGACACCGAGTGATGTTCATGGCTTACATACCTGATAACAATCGCCTTGGCACACAGCCACCTTTCGCCAGACCAACGGTTCCAGAGCAGCTGAAATTGGAACGGAGCGTCGTACCTCAATCCCCGGCCTGACCGCACACCGAATTATATTTTTAATGAGGTGCAGGTGATGTGGGACGGCCCCAGTCCAGACGGATAAGCACCGCGTTGGGAAAGGTTGGCCTTTAACAAGGAGCTTTAGGACGTACTGTGCCAGGTGATGGCGGATCCTGCGGAGGGATCATAGGATTACACTGCACCGCCGGGTCACCATGGATGTGGGAGATTCATATGTGATCTGATGGTCGAGGGGACTAGCTCTTTACTTTTTACGATTTGTTACGAAGGGTGGCTAACTCTTGTCTTGTTATGGTTAATTGTTAAGCTATTGGCCAGGAGCCAATTTTTGAAATTAAGCAAAGACTTCTGAAGTCGCACCTGGCGATGAGAGAAGTCGATGACAATAGGTGGGAAATGGTCGAGGAGCTCGGTGCCGCCAGGACAAAAGGCAGCCAGTGGTGAAGAAGGAGAGCATGTCGATGAAGATGAATGAGAAGATTGGTCCGACGATGGGTCCTTTGGATATTTCAAAGGTCAGGGGAAGAGGAATGGAGACAAGTGGTCGCGTGCAGTCCATCCACATGCAGTCGGGAAGAGAACTCCGCAACCATAATGAGTGTGCTACGTGCCACTCGAGCTTACCCAGCAGGATACCATGGTCGACACCGTCGAACGCTTAGTTCAAATCTGGTGTCATTCAAGGAAATGTTCATGTATGAAGACAGTGAAGCCCGCATGAGACATGACGAAATAAGCTCACTCATATTTACTGGTATGCTTTGAAGTGGAAAGGACTATTCTACACAACATAATTTTTCTTCTTAGTACGTATGCTCCACAGTACAACATCAATTGCGTCATGGAACGTCTGTATGACAGCACTTACCTGTAGTTCTTCAATCTCCCGAAAAATGGTAGCACGGGCTGCAAGTGTTGGCCGAGCGACATATCGTTATGTACTCGTGTTTTGGCCCTTTCTCGTGACGTTCTTGCCTATTAATCCGTGATTTTAAGACGCTGCATTATATTCACATGCTCGGTTATAGTGTTTTTCTTAAGTTACGCGATAACAAGTGTTTTTTCCGTAATGACGTGGAAGAATGTGTATCTTCTTGTACCATGCAGCACAAGACGTAATTCATGTTGGAATCTTGCTTAGCTGGCACAGCATTGGCTGAGAGGCACTTAACGGTCGTTATATCTGGAAATCGTGCTCACGAACGCCAGATATAAATCACTCGACTATAATATTCTTGTTGACATTGAACGCCGCAAGGCAGTGAAATTACAAGATTTGAATGACGTCATCATGGTGTCATGTATGTCTGGGCAGCCCTGCAATAGTCTGCGCGTAGAAGTCTGCACATCCTTGCGGGTAACTCGCTCAGAAACTGTGTCTTTAAGACGGGCAGGGCTGTGATCTGCATCGAATGATCTTCAAGGTAGCTACCTCACTTCAAAACGCCATATAAATGTGGAACATTCCCTTTTAACGACGCAATATGAACATCAGCGATCATTTTGTATCTGGTAGACAGCGTCGAGCAAAGCGTCCTGCGTGGAAACGCACGGCGGTGGGCATAGGCACTGGGGCGGGGAGAGTAGGCCATCATGGATAAAATAGGACTTGGGTTCAGTTGACACTCCTTTTTTTTAATTACGGCAAGATGAAAATAGGCCTAACGTTGCTGACATCTGAAAGGAGCTTTGCAGCATCCACGGCTCAAAATCGCCACACCTCCATGGCCGATCTCCCCTGGCCGGTCTGTACGGCACAGCGCATAGCCAGGGAACGTCACCAGCCTGGACGCAGTGGTGGATCAAAGCCACGTCTCGGGCATCACGCAAAAGTCGTAATGCAACCGGTTTAGATGTTCATGCTGCAGTGGAGCTCTCCTCGACACCAGATACTGGATGTTGATAACTCCCAACAGCAGGTTCCGACAACGACCGTCCGGGGCAGTGCGAGCGGCCATAGGCCGGCCATCACCTCTACCGGAGGTTCATTTGCGGCCAGACCGCACACCAGTGCGGTCTGAATCCGCACTGGTGGACGTCGAGCGCATTGCAGCTTTCGAGAAAGTGCGTCAGTCGCGTGCTGATCATGCGCTTGGAGCTTACTAGTGCAGCTAGTAAGCGAAATGAGGCTATAATTTGGGTGCGAATGGGTTTTGTTCAGTTTTGGTATGGGCGTGACTAGGCTCTCTTCCCAGCTGGCTGGGGAAGAGTTGCTGGTAAAAAGATTTTCAACAGCCGATGATTAAAGTTAAA